ATTATTATTATTATTGTTATTATTATTATTACTATTATTATTATTATTACTATTATTATTATTATTACTATTATTATTATTATTACTATTATTATTATTATTACTATTATTATTATTATTATTACTATTATTATTATTATCATTATAATCATTACTATTTCGTCCATTTGCTCGTTATTTTCTATTCATTGCTTCGTTCATAATTGCTCAAAACTCATCCCGAGTTTTGACGGAAAGTTATTCTCATCTTTTTCATAGATTATCATTATTTTGATATTGGCATGCCTCAAACGTCGTAGCAGTTGGAAACTTGAATATTGCAAAGGATACCCGGGGCTGTTAATGTAAGTGGAAGAAGAGAGAAACTTATGAATTATAAGTTTGGAGCTATAATTTGTATTTGTTTGTGTTTCAGACCAATCAACTTCTTGGGTGGAATGGACAAAATCAACAGGTACACTATTGCTGTTACCTTTGGAGCAACTGCCAGTACCTTCTTTAGTAACACAAGATTTAACTTTATCCCAGACTCGCCATGGATATCAGGTTAGCAGAACACGCAATGATGAGTCTGTTCATTAACGATTTTGGCATTAAGAACCTCTCGGATTAGAAGGGATATTTACTAAAACTTTTACATAAACGCGGATTACTTTAGTGGGAGAGACTGCCAAAGGTCGGTATTGTTTCATGCGCAAAGGACTTTTAACGAAGGAACAGGAGAATTACAAAGGATTTCACTGACAGCGTTGCCTTGGACTAAATATACAAAGAAAAAACACATGTGGAATTGAAAATAGCTGTCTTTTTCAATTTTGCCTTGTATTAGGTTTGTTATGCATTAAACTTACAAGGAAAACTCTGATTGGCCGAAATTTTTCAGTCGATATACAATAGCGTGTAAAGTTGACATGATAACCCAATATCTGCAGTAGATATTGGGTTCTCATGTCGAGTTCAAAGGGTTCCTAATTTTCAAGCCTTTCGCCCGTATAGTGTTTTGCAAACTCAAAGAGAAGTGTCTTCTTCTGCAAATTGTTTAAAAAAATGTACAATAAAACAACTGTTGAATTCGGGTTTTGCATAATATCATAAATTATCAAACCTCGTGTCGGGGTTATTCACCTCAACCTTCGCCCTTGGCCGATACCTCAGACCGCTGCATTGACAATTCATAATATCATGCTCAACCTCATCCATTAATTGAAGGTCATCACCTTGCAATAATCACAGTGTGCTTTATCTTTCTTTGTAGTTTTCTCTGCCCTTATTTCTGTTCTTGAGTATGGGATCCTGTTCTACCCATTTTTTGCCTGCCTTACGACTGACAACAGATTGGCTGGCTCCTTGTTAGGTTTTCTCTACGTTACCATGAGGTAAGACCAATGTTATATACAGATAGGATAAACCATAGTTTAACGCCTTAACCCCACGAGTGTTCAAGACGAAATCTCTGCTTACAATATCAATACAGTATTACGCAAAAAAAAAAGATGAGAATAAGGAAAGGTATCAATTAGGTGGTTATAAGATGATTCAATATTAAATTCTCCCAACTAACATCATAACATCAGCCAGCCAGTCAGTCAATTAGTCATTACGTCACTCCGTCGGTCTGTCAGTCGGTCGGTTAGTCAGCCAGTCAGCGAGCTAGTGGGTCTGAGCCAATCAATCATCAGTCAGTCAGTCAGTCAGCTAATCAGTCGTTCAGTCAGTCAGCCAGCCAGTTGCTTAGTCAAAGATAGTCATATCCTTGCATTCTTCGTTTACTGTTTTCAGATTCATCGTTGGACTTGTGATTGAATTCCAATGCAAGGAATCTTACGAAGTAAGAAATGTAGTTTCAAATAAATCAGATTGTTGCGTACGCGTGCTTTCAGGCTGTCCAAGCTAAGTAGAGTTACAAGGTAAGCCAGTGCGTCGTTGGTCTTTTAGAACTGTACGATTTGATTGGTAAAGCTGGAAAAACAACGGTAAATCAACAGGATACCCGTGCTTGATTAAACTTTGTGTTTGATAAGTCTCGATTTATTCTTTTGTTTTCTTTAGGTCCCAAAATTGATCTCCTCGCGCATGCCTTACGTTTGGCTGCTTTGTTGTGTGCGTGTATTTACTCGTTCGCTCACCCGCCCTCCAGCTTCTTTGTTTGTTTGTTCGTTCGCCCTTTCGTTCCTTCGTTCATTTGTTTGTTCTTTCATTCATTCGTTTTTTTGTTCGGTCATTCGTTTATTCATTTGTTCGATCGTTCGCTTGTTCTTTCGTTTGTTCATTCGCTCGTTCTTTCATTTGCCCGTTCGTTCATTCGTTAGACTAGTTGTGTGTAGCACTCAGCGGGGCTCTTATGCAACTGGTCGCAGCTCTGCATTAAATTGCAAGTTGAACCTTTCATTTTGTTCCTCCAGGAAGATATCAAGACCCAGCAATATACTGAATTTCTTGGCGAAGTTCCCACGTACTTGTGCCTTCTCTTCATCGCCCTGAGGTTTGCTATGCTAGTCGTTTTGGAAATTAAGCAGTGCCGAGTGCTGTCAAATTGGGTAAGCTCCTTTTCTCACGCAAAACTCTCAGAGTCTCGAAAGTTTTTCGAAATCTTCACTAACTCTCCCCTCCCCTGCATATATAAATCTTTCAGACGCCTGTTGGAGCTGATGATTATCGCACCCGTTTGATCAAAGAGTCAGGATATATTCACGTCAAGGAGTTACTAAGCACAGGATCGAACTTGTAAGTATGCTATTATCCTCTTTAATATAATATTCTTACATTATCGTGATATTCTTATCATCGTCCCCCTACTCTTATTGTCAGTTAATTGGAAGTCAATTTCTCTAACTGTTCATTATTTATCGCGAGAAAGGAGGGGAAGGAGATCGGGTGGATTTTGGTTGTGTTACGATAAAACTCTGATCTCCCCTAAGGCTCTGTAATATTCTTATAATCCCCTGACCCCACTCCCCCTTATTGGCAAATAAGTTTCTATAGTCCTCCCCTTCTATACTTTGTTGGCCACGACTAATCCCCTCATTCCCCCTCCTAAACACCTTGTGTTACTCCCTTGAAATAATCCACCAACCCTCCCCTCCCGGAGATAATTAATGACTGTCCCCTTAACGGAAAACAGTTGTGATTTTATAAAGCTAAGGTAGAAATTGATTGTGGAATGATTGAGTTCTAGAACCACGGCTGACGACAAATGGTACGAGAGGCTCATCTTTAAAATCTACAGACCCAGGAAAGGTTGGTTATATCAATCTGATTGCTTTTAATTGGTGATTTAAAGAAGATATATAGGTTGGAATTTGATACTGAGAATAACTTTTCCGGCATTGCTCAATGACTAGAAGGATAGTCTAAAAATACCTTGGTGGCAGAAAGCGAATGTTTGTTAATTCTCTCCTTCAGCTGCCACACATTTCCTTGCCAATAATTTATGAGAATTTGGTATTAGATCATTCTAACAACTTTTACCTGATAAGTTTGAGTACACTCCTTACCTGTACCTGCTGGATGAGGTATGGATATTATGAGGAGAAATTACATGTTAATCACTTCTGGAATTTGAAGATTGACACTCGTGTTCTGTTTCACTCTCGCCCATTGTAGGTGTATTTGCTTACAGTGCATACCACTCTAAACTGATTCAGTGTTTTATTTGGTGATTTTCTGCTATTTTTAATGCTTTTCTTTCAGCTCGGTTTAGATTTGTCTATATTCTAAATTTTTTATTGATCATGTTTAATGAAAAACTGAAACTGATACATGGATTTGATTTCAGATTTTAAATTCTCAACGCAGTTGATTTCCACCTTAGTGGTTGCAGGAATAATTGTATTTCAGGTCAGTTTGATTTTTTCATGCCACGTAACTGCAATGTTTTCGGTTGCGCCCACCTTCAATGTGGATAAATGTTCGCCAAATAAGGAGCTTTTAGAAAACATTCCCCATTTTTAAACGCACTTTGTTCTAAAGACCAGCTTCTCTCGCTCATCCGGTTAAATCTTCGCTAGGAGATTTAAAACGGGTCGGAATGAGATTTTCCGGAGGTCTGGTGCTAGTCCCTCTGCAGATCTCTTGTCGGTCAGCGGTCGGCCTAAGGCCTCATACTTTTTCTGCGAGTTAAATTACGCTCAAGGCGAAACGCTAATGACCAGGGCTTCTTCGTAGGCTACTTATTACCATTCCATGGAAAGCGTTTAGTCCTTTCAATTTCAAATTGATTTATGTAGTATTTAGGTAAGGTGTTTTCTTGTAAAATTGTAGAAACGTCATATGCTTATCGAAGAACTATTTCTTCTTTTTTTTAATGCAGGTTATGTTGCAATATCTATCGTTCTTTGATTTCTACAAGAATAGAATGTTCTCGTCTTGTGTTGACGAGCCTCTTTGTCAGAGCTTTCTTCCTCTGTTATTTCGTAAGTTTGCGGCATTCTTTGGAATTTAGATGGGATATATAGTAAACTTATTGTTTGTATAAGTAACTAGAACCTTGTATATGATTTATTTTGTTACTGCATTAGTTATGTTACAACTTGTAAGGCAATCTTATGCTATCCTGTCGATCTTAATATGCTGCACTAATCTGGTACCCAGGTCCTACCGTGTTACTATACCTCAAATTGGTCGTGAAAGGTCTGTGTACTGGACTAATGATGTATTTATTCTCGATTTTAATTTGAAAACAGATGCTTTGGAGGGAGGAATTATTGCAGCAGCTCTCGTTTCTGTCTTATTGATGCTGCATTTCATGAAATGCCACAGGTAAGTTAAAGAAGATGCTGTGACCTCACTGTTAGCGCATTGGTCGAGAGGTCTGGGTTGGAGACCTAAACGATCATAATTATGTTGTTGTCTTCTTGAGAAATGTGTCGAGAACGGTATGGAGAATATGCATACTGATACAAGGCTGCGAAGGGTTACGAGCTTTTAACATTTAAATTTAAAGGACTGAGAATCCGCTAAGCTCAAGCACCTTGCTACATACCCCATCCCCGTGAACAATCTAGGTCGTATCATTCAGCCTATCTCACCAACGCAGCAATTTCTTTGAATGATAGCTTACATATATTTCATGTTTGATTCCAGAGACCATGTGTTAGAGCTGTATCGAGGCAAAAGAACTTTTTGTCACGACGTGATTGTCTCTCCTGCAAATTTAGTGGTGGGTTACTATGCCTCCTGCTTCCAGTATTCCGTTACTTTCTGCTGTAATCAGCCGCGTTACTTGCGTCGCGTTGCATAGGTTCATACATTGCTAGGTGACTGACAGTCTGAAATACACCACTGACAGTCGTGTAGGTTGCTATGGACGAAGTGCGCTCGGATTAGATGAGATTTTTGTGAGTTTCTTTTCGTCTTTTTGCGTTGAGTTAATGTCTTTTGGTGGAAACAAGTGTAACTTTCGAACCAGCAAGTGTGCTATATGGTCCCCGGAGCGACATGTTATTGCCAATGCTCAAAACCTCTGACTTTGAATTCTTTACAGCCAGATATTTTCGTAATTTTCACGAGGGCTCTTTCGCAAATTTCGAGTACGTTTGAGCTTATTAAGTCAGTAGCACAAGCTTAACCCGTGCTATTGGAATTGCGGGAACGTTCTCTTCAACAACAGACCCGTGGAAAAGATGTTACATCAACTGTCGCTTGGCAACGAATTGGCACGTGCTGTCGCAATACATGCAAATAACAAAACTCGACATGACTTACTTACGTGTACCAGTTCATTACAACCAAGAACCTTTCATGTTAACAAAAGAGATTTACTGATTGCTGAACAATTGTGGCTTTGTTGGTGTTTTTTCGTAGTGGCTGCTTAGCAGTGTCTGATATATGAAGTTCATATATTTTGAACTGCGGTATTATAGATACGTATGATGCACGATCGTCGCAGTAGAGAGCGCTATTTATGCAATAGCGAAAATCAGACCTGAAAAAAATCAGGCCTGTACGGGATTCGAACCACTGACCTCTGCGATAAATCTATGTATTTCATTATTTATTGATATTGTTTCTGTTAGATGAATTTTGTTGAGGCACGATCCCACAAGTCTCTGGCTTTAAATATTTGTCGTATTAAATTATAGTTTTATCATTATTATTAGTATTGTTATTATTATGATTATTATCATTATCATTATTACTATTATCATTATTATGCTATTGTTGTTGTTTCAGGGAAAGAGCTTGTCATTCTCTGGATACCAGATTGCTTTCGTTTTAACAGGTTTGTTATGTAATGTGGAAAAGTTTGAAATTCACTTTCCAGATAATTTACGATGTAATTTTTCTTTTAAACGATGCCAGAGTGTGATCACATCATGATTAAAAAATATTTTTTCAGGGGTATGTTAGGCTATTCTTTAGCTACTCAAACAACAAGGTGCATTCTTATTTTCAGGATACTCCGTTTTGAGTTCCTCCTGGCAATCATAGCTGCCATACTCTCCGCTATTTTCAAGTACATTCATTTCTTGATTTCGCCGGATATGTTAGAATTGTACGAAGAGATTGGAAAGGCCTTGGCGTAAGTTCCATGCTGCCAACTAGATTCACTTTGTTATGTGAACTTTTCCAAGACACCGAATAGAAATATGGCGTCCAATTTAAATTACCACTGTTCTGGACTTACTAGCCCCGTCTTCACGTGAAGACACAAAAAAATTATCTCATGTGTGAGAGGCTAGTAAGTCAAGAACTATGGCAATTCAAATTGGACGCCATATTTCAATTCGGTGTGATGCTTTCTGAAATTTACTTTTGCTAAATCACCTCACTCACTATTTGAAAAATACTACGTACTTAATGAACTTAAAGGGAGGGCCGAACGGGAACCAAATATTTCCCGTACGGCCCGACCAAAGTTAGTTAATAAGGATTTTATCATGTGACGACCGATTAAGTTTTGAAAATTCGAAATTTTTTTTTTAAATTGAAGAAG